ATTTTTTGAAATTTTCAAATTTGCATTTATTCTTAATGATAGCTTTTATATCAAAAATATTAATGGCTTCAATTTACATTTTTTTAGAAGATATTGAACAAAATTTCATCAGCCCGTATCAACCAAAACGGCTTCCCAAGAAAAATATAAAACTCATTTTCCAAATTCTTTTTCTACAGCCTTTAAAGCTGCACCAAAAACTTGGTCCATATCATAATATTGATAATTGCCTAAACGACCACCAAAAATAATTTTTTGTAACTTATCAGCTTCCTCACGGTAAAACTTAAACAAGGAGGAATTTCGTGCATCATTGACAGGATAGTAAGCTTCTTTTGTTCTATCCCAATCTTGGGGGTATTCTTTCGTCAAAATTGTTTTACCCTTGTCAGCTTTTTGGTCAAAATGACGCCATTCCATCACACGCGTAAAAGGAATTTCTGCATCAGTGTAGTTAATCACAGCATTACCTTGTATATTTTCGCTCTCAAAACTTTCACTCTCAAAACGAACAGAACGATATTCCAACTCACCATACTTGTAGCCAAAGAATGCATCTATCATACCCGTATAAACAATTTTTGGAAATTCTTCCATATAACTTACTTTATCTGCTAAGAAGTCCATATTAGTTTGCAAATCAATCAGTTCACTGTCAAGCATTCGCTCAAAGATTGAGGTATATCCATCAATAGGAACGCCCTGATAGCGATGATTAAAGTAGTTGTTATCAAAAGTAAATCGGACAGGAAGACGACGAATAATGAAGGCTGGGAGTTCCGTGGCTTTACGTCCCCATTGCTTTTCCGTGTATCCTTTAATCAACTTGCTATAAATGTCCGTCCCAATCAGTGAAATCGCCTGTTCTTCCAAGTTCTTTGCCGAACTTGAAATACCTGCTGCTGCCTTTTGTTCTTCAATTTTTGCTGCCGCTTCCTCAGGTGTTTTTACCCCCCACATCTGATAGAAAGTATTCATATTGAAGGGCAGATTATAAAGTTCTCCCTTATAATCAGCCACAACTTGATTGATATAACCATTAAATTCAGTAAATTGATTTACATAATCCCAAACCATTTTATTATCAGTGTGAAAAATATGAGCACCATAATCGTGAACATTAATACCATTTTCCTTATGAGTATAGGTATTCCCTCCAACATGAGTGCGCTTTTCAATAACAAGCGACCTTTTCCCTCGTTTCGCAGCTTCATGGGCAAAAGTAGTACCAAAAGGCCCTGCACCCACGATAAGATAGTCATAATTTTTTGTATTATATTTCATATTTTATTTCCCCTATTTTTTGATAATTATCAGTTTAATCTGTTTAAGTCAATCTTTAACAAAGTTCTATTAATACCTGATGAACAGCTCGGATTATGAGATATTAGTCCTGACGCACATCACATTACTTACCTATTCAATTGTCACAAGATAATATAATCATTAATTTCTTCTGAAACCTCTGTTTCTATTAACGTTAGATTTTTATATTTCATCCAACCGTCCCCACTAAGATGAAGAGCAACGTTAAAAAAGCTCCCTTTTGTTTTTATATTTAAAACTATATGTTTCCACTTTTTAGAGGTTAGATTTTCCATCTTAGCAGAAACAAATACTTGTTTTTCCATTTTAGAACCCAACATTTTTTGACTAGCATTTTGAATTATCTTATTATCACTTAAAAGAGTAAGCATCAAAAAAGCATCACTACGAGTCAACTCAAAAAAGTTTTCTATCCAAACATCACACGAAAACTGGAAAACATACTCTTTTTTATTTGATAGCTTTATTGAATTCAAAAAGAGGCTAGTTGGTACTTTTGTATCACTTCTTTTTACTTCTACTTCATTAAATTGATTTACAAAGAATTCGTCAGTTCGATTAATCCACAAATCGTTTTGAAAAGCAACTTGTATTTTAGTCAGTAAATTTTTTTCATTGCTCATTCTTTATTTCCCTCCTCTACATCCTTATCTTCTCTAAAAAGAGTTTTTCATCTTTTTACCTAGCTGTCCTCAAAGCCTGAATTTAAAATCCCTAAGCTGTTAAGCCTAATTTTTTTAGATTAGATTGGGCATATTTATTTCCTTGGGTAGCAGACTTGCGATAAAGTTCAATGGCTTTTTGTTTATTCTTTGTTACACCTTGTCCGTATAAGTACATTGTCCCTAGTAAATTTTGAGAACCTGCCATTCCCGCATCCGATGACCTTTTCAGCCATTTTTCAGCAACAGAATAATCTTTAGTTACCCCTTGTCCAAAATAGTAGAGCGTCCCCAAGTGTTCAGCCGCAAATTTATTTCCTTGCTCAGCAGAACTCTGAAAAAAGTCTGTGGCTTTTTGAACATCCTTTTTCACTCCCAAGCCATTTAAGTACATGACTCCCAGTGTATTTTCTGCATCTGCATTTTTTTGATTAGAAGCCTTGACAAGCCACGACTGTGCTTTAGTATAATTTTTGTTCTGATAATAGTCCAAACCGAGAGTGTATTGAGCTTTTGATCGACCTAGTTCCGCCGAAATCCACGTAGATTGAGTCAAAAGTAATACAATCCCCACCACCATTAAAATAACAACAATAATTAAAGCAATTAACCGATTTTTACTTTTTTTATTTTGGGACTTTCTTGTTTCTAAAGTTCTCATTTGCTTCCCCTCTTCATTACGATTATATGATTTGGTCTCTTAGCCAAGAAATATCACGTTTTACTACTTTACCGGGATTTCCTGCTATAACAATATTTTTTTCTGAAAAAATTTTAGCAATAACTGCGGAGGTCCCAACAATACTATTATCCTGAATCATACTTCCTTTTAAAACTGTTGCATTTGCTCCAATCCAAACATTATTTCCTATTTCTATTTTCTTGGCTCTATTTATCATTTTTCCTGTCACGTTATCAAATATTTGATGACCGTCTGAAGCTCTGATAACTATTCAGGTTGACCAAAGATTATCCTCACCCACACGGACAGATAAATGATGCTCATTTCCGATTACAAAATTTGAACCACCAATACTACAGCCTTTTTTTATTAATAATTCATTGTTAGAACTTAGCGTTCCAAAATTAATTAAAGTATTGTTAATTCCCTCTTCATCGGTTTTTTCTATCTCAACTTTTGAAAAATCATTAATATTAATGTAGGTATTTTTAAACTTAGACCCTTCATCAATAAAAACGTTTGAACCTTGACCAAGAAATTTAATAACTAAACCTGGATAACTCTTTATTTCAGTAGTCAAACCATTGGTTACTTGGTAAATATGATTATTTGCAACTTTTTTCATCATCAATCTAATAGTCAGTTCATTTATTAGCAACTCATCTTCAAAAAATATATTCAAAAAATCATAGTCTTCTTCAGCTTTAACACTATAACCTTGTTTCCCAAGTCCAACAGGAACATCTCTCGAATAAAACTTTCTTTCACTCCCATTCATATCACTAACCCCAGCTAAAAGACGTGAAGGATTGAGTGCGAAAGTCCCAATTTTTAAAAAGTAAGTTTCTCCTTTTCGAAATTTTTCAGGTAATTTTAACTTTACCCAACTTCCCATAATGGACTCCTCCATTGAAAGATTAGAAAACTTAATTACGCCCTCAGATTTTTCAAAAGAAAAGTTTTCACTTTCTATAAGTTCAATATTATTTAGCAATACCATTAGTCAATTTCCTCAATACCAATGTGATGTACTCTACCTGTCTTAAAGTTTTCTGAAAATCCAATATGGTCAATATCATCATTCTTGATTTCTACTTCAAAAACAACTTCTTGTCCATTTTCCTTAATTTCGTCACTTATTTTGACAACTTCGCTTCCATCTTGGGCAGTTAACATGAATTCTTTATTTTTCCCTTCCCAAAGAACAGTGACTCTGTATTTATGGTTGAGCTGCAAGAGTGATTTTGTTCTAAAATTTTGCCAGGTCCAAAAATCTTTACTCCCTTTCCTAGCTTTTTTATTCTTTTTGAACTCTATACTTTCTCCCGCTTGTAGTTCAAAATACGGACTGAGTTCATCTAAGTATACGTCCCAAGAACTGATGAGATTTCCCACTACGGAGTTATTATAATTAAACAATCGCTTAGGAATTAATGATTTATTTAATATGTCTAAATCAATTTCATTTTGGGCGATGAAGTTTATATACTTGTCATAGCTTTCATCAAAATAATCATAGTAAGCTTGCATTTCAAAACATGCTCTATAATATAATTCTTCAACACTTGTTTTTTCTGTCAGTTCATAATCCCAAATATAAGGAAGGTGATGGTATTCTGCCAGCCCTGCCGTATTTGAATCCGTTGCTATAATCATAACTGGCAGACCTGCTAAAGCCGCAGCAATGGCTCCATGAATACGAGTTCCCAATGAGAATTTATAGTCTTTCAGCTCACTAATCCACCTATTAGGGTCAGCAATAAATTTTGCACGTCCTTCTACGTAAGCAAAATGTTGATTATCTCCAACTAATAAGTCATGTCGTCTTTCATCTACAAGCGAATGACCATATTCCACAAGCCTAGCCTCATCAATATCTTGTAAAAATACATCTGCCTTTTGGTTTTCAAATAAAACTTTGTCAATAAAGCTAGCCCAATGATAATCATAATCTCCCGCAATATAATTCACTGCAATCTTAAATTCTTGGTCAATTAAATTATATTTGTCGGTATGAATTTTATAATAGGCTTGTTTCTCTTGCAAATATCCTTTATAAGTTACTGAAGGGCAGCCAATAATACTAAATTTTTCTTCAGGATAACCAAGATATTCCGTCAGATATTTATAAGAATAGTTATCTCTAAGGCCGATTATATTCGTTTTACCCATTGCTGTTTCAATAAAATTTTTGATAAGCTTCTCGTTAGAAAATTTGTAAAATCCTTCTCTCGAAAACATACCACCAAGTCCAAATAGTAAGACCTTTGCGTCTATCTGATTCATGATATCTGTCAAATATATCAACTCCTCATCACTACCCTCACGTAAGGTATCCGACATTGGCAATACAAAATAATCATATTTTAATTTTTGTAGCTCTGTATTATGACTAAAGTCCCAAGTTGTGATAAAATTTTCGTGAGAAACTTTGTCAAATAAATTAAGCACCGCCCAACGAAACAACTGATTCCCAGAATTTCCACTCAACCAATCCATATCAATAACTTCTTCATCCGTGTAACTATCCCATGGGAAAATTGCTGTGTGTACTAATATTCTTGTATTTTTTAACTTAACAGTCATTACTTGGCTCCTTTGTTGAAACTTCTATAAAATGTTGAGGCAAATATTTTGAATTCAAATCTTCCAAATTTACTCCATTTTTTATAAAGAAATTTATATATTCATCATATTTATCATAGAAACTTTCATAAAATTTTGGCATTTCTGAGCAAGTTCGATAATAAAGCTCCTCCAATGTTGTTTCTGGAGTAATCTCATACCACCAGACATATGGAATATTATTATAGTCAGCAAGACCTGCTGTTCTTGAATCTATTGCAATGACCATGGAAGGAACACCAGCTAGTAAAGGGATAACATTTCCGTGAATCCGCGTACCAATCGAAAAATCCATTTCACTTATGTCATCCATCCAGTCATCTGGGCGCACAATGAATTTTCCTCTGTTCTCTTTAATAACTGGATGTTTCAAAAATGTTGGTAATAAATCATGATACTTATTACTAGGCATTGGAATATTGTCTAGTAACATTCTACCTTCTTCAATATCTTGAAAATATGCATAAGAATTAGTATATTTACGAAAAATCTTATCAAAAAACTTTGCCCATGAATATTTATATTGACCTGGAGTGAAATTTATACCAATTTTGAAATCATCCGAAAATTTTCGATATTTTGTAGTTTTAAAATGAGGACCAAAATAACGAACCGATGGGCAACCAATAACATCGACTCTATTTATCGGAAAACCAAGGTAATCTACTAAATACTGCTGCGTTCGCTTATCTCGAACACCTATCGATTTTGCTTTAGTAAGAACTGTCGAAACAAATTTCTTTATTAAGTCCTCATTATTGAATTTAGGAAAGACATCATCTTCAAATTGTCCCCCGATTCCATCAAGTATAACTTTTGCATCAACTTTTTCAATAACTTCAGTGAGATAAATTAATTCCTCATCACTTCCTTCACGAAAAGCATTAGCCATTGGCAACAGAATGTAGTCATATTTCTTTTTCTGCAATTCTGGATTATGTCGAAAATCCCAAATTCGTGTGAAATTTTCATGTGGAACTTTTGAAAAT